AAAGAATCATTTAAAAGACATTTTTGATTTGTAAATCAAGCATTACAGAATCTGAATATTAGATCGAATCTGAAGAAAACATTTTATATACAGATTAGATTTTTTTGTATAAAAATGCATTTCAGCTGCTTACCCTGAACTATCTATCTAAAAATTTGTTACTATTAATGTATTTGATGTAATGTATGTCCACATATACATGTTTTGTTTCCCTGTTTACAACTTCCAGTAATACTAATAGAAATTACCAAGTCTTGCTAAAATATATGATCCTTAGAGTTGTGAAAATTAGCCTCTGTTTTTCTGTTTTCTTTAGAGAACAGGTTTGTTAAATAATGTACTACTCATGATCTAATAAAACACTGCAAAACCAAAGACAATTCCTTCATTTCCAAAGCTTCCTCAATTTTGCAAGGTACATAACAGAAGTATTACTTCACAGTTGCAGCTGCTCTTAAAACTTACACCTTTCTCTGAGTCATAAAAATAACAAACTATGTAAGTATGAAGAAATGTGGCAAATTTTAGATCTTTCATGAGCCAATTTATCAATTGGAGGCAATACTATGCTTTGCTTAAAACTGAAAAAAAAAATTCTAATGTTTCACACATTAGAAAATGTACTGTGGAATTATGAATAGTGGAAGAGTCAATTTATAACTAGATTTTAAGAAAATATTAGGCATCAGCTGAGAAGATAATGAGATTCACTACAACGCCCATTCTCGTTAACTTTTATCTACTTTTGAAGACCTACAATGTCTCCAATGTTTTGGTTTTGTCGGTTTTATTCTTTACGGTTTTGTTCAATTGTATTACAACTAATGATATAGGCAATTCTATTAGAAATAGCGGGAGGCATTAGGGTAACCATTGTTGATCACCTTGTATTATGTTTTTATATTATCTATTATGTCCACCCTTTTGACTTGACCGATTCTGTTCTATTATGTCACATTTGGTTTTACTCTCTTCCAAAAAAGCAACAAGAACCGTGGGAGCAATGAAACCCAAAATGTGTAATAGTCACTGTACAAAAGAGAGGAAAAGAAAGTGCTCTAAACTATATAACTGCATGTATATTTAAAAGTATAAGATAGAAAATGATATCACAGAGTTTTATTGGATCATTGAACAGAACTGTTTGCAGTATCATTGGTGGAATGTCCACTCTACAAGCTTTAATTTTGTGACTTGAACAATTATTTCTAAGATGGCAATATGTAATCCATTAACTAGTGATTTCCTACTGTGCATTTTTTTATTCTGTAAATCTGTATAACTTGTACCCCTTCACTGTTTTTTTTTCTTTCTTTTCTTTTCTCCTTAAATAAAAATTAAAAAAAAAAAGAAAATAAAAAACCTGATATATAAAGTTACTCATATAATTAACTAATATCTGTAGATCAAATGTTTTGAGTCCAGTAAAACAAAATTTTAAAAAAGGTTTGTGACATAGTGGGTAAGTTTTTTAGGAAGCTGCTCACTAAAGATAAGAACAAAGAGAAGACTCTATTTTAAATATACTGTTTATTCTTATTTGTTAGAACTCTTAAAAGAGTTCTGTATCTACCACCTGCATTCTTTTTCCTTCCATTACACCCATTCCCCCAAATATCTACGCAAAAGTATAACATATGCCAAAAATAATGAAAGAAAACATTTTTCCAATTTACCATCACCAAGTCAATTAAATTACCCACAATATAAAGAAACTGGAAATGTAAAAGCCTTGAAAGCAGTCTACTATAAAAAATTATATAATGTCGAGTCTAGCAGGACATCAACATAAAACAAAATATGCAATGGCTAGAGAAAAATAATTTTTAAAAAGTTCACTAAGACATAAAACTAAAATCCAAGGAAGAGCTATAAAACTTAAAGAGCTATAAAACTATCATTTATCAAATGAAGTAATTTTTAAAAGTAAAATAATAAAATACTGAGTGTATCACCACATGTTAAGCATTAGTTAAGTTTCTTCCCTCTAGTTCTTTTATTCAGTCCTCAAAATATTCATGAAATAGTTTAATACCTTAATTATAAATAATGGAACTGAGTTTTGAGGAAAAGTTCACTCAAGGTGCTTTAGTCATTGAAGGGCAGATTCTCAATTTAGTTCTTACTAATTAGATATTTAAAAATTACATATATATATATATATATTCAAAAGTTTAACTGGAAAAAAGGAGTTGATGAATACTGATAAACCTTAGCGGTAAAGGATCTGATTATCCCTGGTTGAGATGGTGGTAAGAAACATTATTAAGAAGTATCTTCCATTTTTCTTTTTCATTTTTGTTTTGGAAATTAAAATAAACAAGAAAAATAGAACTGAAAGATAAAATAGGAAAACAGAAACAGAATTGGTTGATCCCAATATTTAATCATTTAGTAATATATTCAAAATATGCATCTATAATGTTAATTAGAATTGTGTTGAACCTAAGCATAAAGTGTTGCTTTGGAAGTGGTAAAGAATCAAGAGTTTGTTTAATGAACAAGGATGCAAAGTTCTTGAAAGACTTGTTAAAGAATCCAAACCAGAAAGCAAGTATCTTATATACAATGTGCTGCTCAAATAGGACATGCATGTAGAAAATATTTTGTAAGGTATCACACTCCCATCCAAAAATCACAAATTAGCAATTTGTAGGGCATTTTGCTCTGCTTAAGGAAGGAAGGAAGGACCTTATGTAAGCAACACTCTATACTGAATAAGGCAGAGAGAGTAGCTCCTATTGGAACCTGGAGTCATTTCATTAAAATACAGATGTTTGATTTAAAAAAGAAAAAATGAAGAGTTCCTTAATAGCAATGAAAAATGAAAACAAACACAGAAACAGAAAAGCTTAATAAACTCAATTAGTTCAGATAAAACTGAACTCACATCATCAAAATATTGTTAGAAAAGTTAAATACATACATACATATGTGTGTACATATATTCAAATGCACATACAGTAGAGAAAGTTACATGGTAGACAGAGGGTGTGATTCAGTTGGATCAACTTGAGTTCTATATTCACACTGCCTGAATGGCTCATAGATGAGCTCATCACACAACCTTATTTTGGGCAAGTTCTTTTAATCAGAAATTATAAAAATAAGTCATTTGTGAATACAGAAATGATGGCAACAGACACAATATGTGCAAAGATTTTAGACAAGAAAGTTTAGGATGTTCTTGAAGCTGAAAGTCTATGTACCAGAAAGTTAATGAGATGGCTAAAGATGAGATTTTAAAACATTGAAAATGTCCAGGTTTTCAAATTTTTGTAACTGAAAAAGAAGCATACAGTCCATGATCCAGCGACCTGTCTAAAGTCAAATCAGACATAAACTGTAGTACAGATCCCCTATGTCATTGTCAAGAGATACTTATTTCCTATAACTTATGATTCTAAAACAATTCTATTATTTAGAAAGTCCTTTCCTGTGCCCTTTCATTCATACTTCTCATAGCCAATGATTGACCTGATTTTTGTTTCCAAAGATCAGTTTTGTCTGCCTGAACATCACATAAGTTGAAACAATATGACATCTGTCCTTGTTTCCTCTCCATGAATTGCATGTTTTTGAAGTTCATGGAAGATCTATGAATCAGTTCTTTGCTTTAAAAAAAAACTTTGATGCATAATTTTCTGTTTTATAAATAAAGCTTTTCAAACTCAGTTTTCTGTTATACACATTTATGTTGTTTCTAGTTTGAAACAGGTCTGTGTATGCATTTTACCATATAAAGCTGGTTTAAAAGAAGACAAACCTGTGAATAATCCATATCTGGACATGTTTTCATGGCTCTTAAGTATATAAGTGCATAATTACTGAACAGATTTATATTTAATTCTATGAAAAAGCTAGATAATTTTCTGAAGTGGTCATACAATCATACACTTTTACTGTCTCTGTACTGGAAATGTAGTTGTTTCATTGCCAAACATTGATGTTTTAAACATTTAGAATTTTAGTCATCAGCACACAATAATCTCAATATCTCAGGTACATAAATGGTTTGATGTTAGTGTTCGCTTACATTACTACAACAAGTAGGTAAAAAGATCACTTTATAAAGACAAAATGTTCACTTTGGATCACAGTTTTAAAGATTTTGGTCCATTATTAATTAACCAGGTTTCTTTGTACCTATGGCAAGGCAACCTATCATGGAAGAAGCATATAGGAGAGCAACACTGCTCACCTCATGGCCAGGAAAATGAAAGAGAAGAACAGAAGAAGGATTTTGGACTCCATTGTCCCTCCACCTCTACAGGCTTAATGACCTCTACTGAGCCTCAAAACCTAACACTCTACCACTTTCAAGTATACTAACCTGGGGACCAAGTCTCTAAAATATGAGCATTTGAGAGATATCCAAGACCCAAACTATAGCACAATTTATTTAAAAAGCATATCTCTGCAGTTGTTTAGGTCTTACTTAATCTTTTTTAGTGTCTTGGCATGATGAGTATGTCTCCTTGATAATTTTATTGTTTATTATCTGGTTTTTAATAATTTTATAAAGACTTTTTAAGCTTTATTTGCTAATAAATACTGTGTATATGGCATTCAAAGAAGTCAGTTGCAACATGCAGAAATAGTTTTAAAGTGTCTTTCAAAGAAATTGTTTTCAATTTAACATAAGTTTTCAAATACATTCAGTTGAATTTTTCAAATTATATGCTATATAGGATATGTGTTAGCATAACATGGTTTAATGTTCACAATATCTGTTCATATTTCTATACACAGTCTCTTTTGGTTTTTTAGTTATTTACATAAATAAAATGTTAGACACTTACAATAGTAAAATTTCACTTTCCCACTTTCACATCCTCTTACTAGTGATTTAAAATATTTTATATCTATATTGATAATAACTTTAACATAATATTATTTTTATTTAACTAGTCAGTTGCTTCTTTAAAATTTTTAAAAATTAGTTTTATGTATTGATCCCTGTGAATAACACTTTTGGTAATTTTTATTCTTTCCTGTAGATCTGGCCACATTTTCCTTAAGACTGAAAACTCTTGCAGCATTTTTGGTAATGCAAATTCTAAACCCAAGTTTTCTCAGCTTTCATTTTTATGTAAGTATGTTTGTTTTGCTTTTACTTTTGAAGTGAACTTTTACTGAATAAATAGACCAGAATTAAAGGAGATTTCTTTCTTTTCTTTTACCACTGTTAGTAAATGTCCTCTGGTCTGCATTGTTTCTGATGTGTTTTTGTTTTTTAAAATGTTCACTATTTTTGAAGTATCTTTTTACTAAATATAAAACACTAGGCAGGTAATGTGGTAGTCTTTTGGTGCAATAGCCAATCCCTACACATTTATGAAAGAGAAAAAATGATAATTTGTAATCTTACAGTTCAAGAGATCGAAATTTGACACAAGTCACGCTGAGCTAGAATTTAGGGTCTGGTAAGACTTCAAGCTCTTCTGTTGCTACTAGAGGAAATTCCGTTTCCTTTTCCTCCTGGTTTTTAAATCCCACCTGCATTCCTTTCCTGAGATGCCTTTACTTCATCTTCAAAGCTTAGCAATCTCAGAGGACGACCCTTTGGTATCGTATCAACCTGCTCTTTCTTTCTATTATAAATTTGTGTTTTGGTCCTGCTTTACTTTCTTGTTATTTGGGCCTATCTCAATAATATCCAAGATAATCTTCCTGCTTTAATGTTCGTGCATTATGCACATTAATTCCATCTGCCACATCTGTGCACTTTGTCATGTAACCTAGCACACTCACAAATTATGGACATTAGAACATAAATATTTTTGAAGACCACATTCATTCTACTGCAGTGAAGATTTGTCAAAGTCAAAGTCCTAGTTTGAGTGAAGTATAAAACCTTCACTACCATTTATCTCCCTTTACCCACTCCAAATTAATTATAATAAATATTTCTTTTACATGCATTAAAATTACATTATACAATGTTGTTTCTTACTTAAATCATCAAACAGAATTTAGATTACTCAAGAGAAAAAAGAAAGTTTCCAACAGGATCCCAACTTTTGCTTCTTATGCGTTCTTTTTTGATATCTCCTGATTCCCCTAACTTCATTTGCTTTTCTGTTTAGCAGACTTCTGTTAGCATTCTGCCTGTAATAAATGTCTAAATTTTCATTCATCTGACACTGCCTTGATTTGCTCTCCATTACTAAAGCATGACTTTAATTAATATACAACCATGGATTGAAAGTCCTCTACCCACCAAAACATTATACTTCTTATAAGCAACCCAAGGTCATCGCTGAAAGTGGTGTACTTCTCATTTCCAAGAACATGTAAGTCAAATGATTCAAACAGTCACAAACCCCCTTGAAACTTCCTAGTCCATCAGTAGTTGCATATCCAAAAAAACTGAGCATTTGAAAAAATGCCCCTTTACAGGAGAAATGCATATCATTCCCTCATTAAAACAATAGAGTTCATATATGTGATCAGATCCAAACTTCTGTGTGAATAGAGTCAGTGACTTAAAAATACTGTTGAATTTTCATTGCACAAGCTCAAAAATGTACATATTAATACCAGAGTTAAAGGTTTAGATGAAGAATCTTTGGTTATTCAAAATATGCATCTGAACATAACATGAAAGACTCTATGATATTTATAGAACTCATAGTTTCACCAAGCCATAGTTGGGCTCTTTTTTTGGCATTGTTAAAGTATCTTACTGGAAAAGAAAATTTATTGTTCCCTAAGCTGAAATAAGAAATTGTACATAAGAAGCAGGTATCCCAATGAGGCTGTATAAATTAAAATGTAGGTGTGGGAATAACTTCATCATGATATAAAATCAAATGAAAGAAAAAACAAGCAAAATAAAACAAAAGCAAATTGTGTAACATCCTTATTGTCATCACTGTTTCTTATAAGAAGTCCACTATTATTTGAATTTTTTCCTGTATAGATATGTATAGTGTTCTCATTTGTTTTAAAATTCTTTTTGTCCTTTAGTTTTCAGAAGATCGATTAAGATGTATGGGTATAAATTTCTTCTACCTTATTATGCTCTTTGCTTTATAATTAACTTCTTTAATCTGTAAATTTATAATTTCTGCCCAATTTGAAGAATTTAGTATTTTCTTAGCCTCATTGTTTTTTTTTTCTCTTTTGGGGACGAAATATAGAGAAGCTATAATTTTTTTCTTTATGCCTTTGTTCACTTTTTTCTTTCTTCTTTCGTGTTATATTTTCCTGAGTCTACTAGTTCATTCTTTTTTTTTTTTTTTTTTGACTTTTTCCTTTTTATCGGTACCAGTGATCGAACTCACGACTGCCTGCTTGCAAGGCAGGTGTTTATACCGCTGAGCTAAATCTCCAGCCCACGAATTCATTCTTTTTATCTATTGTCTTTCATAAAGTCTATTACCCTATCTTCAAGTGCACTGATCTTTTCTTCTACTTTCATTTTCTTTCTGATCCTATTTTTTTTGCTATTTCAGTTATTCTATTTTTCATATTTTCAACTTGGTTTTGGCTCTATATCTTCCTTTTTTCAAAACTATAAATAGGATTGTTTTATCTAGAGAAAAAAAGCAAAACAAAATGGGTAAAAATAATACAGAATTTTAAAAAACAATAAGAAATCACTAGTTGATAAATTACATATTGTTAACATATTGTTATCTTAGAAGTAGTTGTTCAAATGACAAAATCAAAGCATAAAAAGTGGATAGACAGTACAAGACATTCTGTTTGACAAATGAACAAAAACTTAGTAGTATGGTTATCTATCCTGCACAGTTAAACATACATACAGTTACATCTTTCAGAGCACTTTCTTTCCCTTTCATTGTTATAATATCTATTATAAACTTTGGATCTTATTATTCTTTAAGTTTTTATTATTACTTTTTATACTAGAGAGACAATATATTTACAAACACGAGTCTGATTTATTTCACTTATGAGGACAGTCTCAAGTTTCCTCTATTCACCTATAAAAACCTCAAGATCAACCTTTTTATAGCTGAGCAATATTCCATTGTATAAAAATACCACCTCTTTTTCATTTATTCTGCAGCTGATGAACATTTTGGTTTTTTCTAAGATTTAGCTATTACAAATTATGGTACTATAAACATGGGTGCTCATATATCACTGTGACATGACATTTTCAATTTTTCTGGGAAAATATCCAAGAAAAGAATAGTTGGATTGAATGGAACTTCCAATCCTGGTTTTTGAAGAATCTCCATATGGATTTCCATAATGGCTGTACCAGTCTATACTCCCACCAACAGTAGAGAAGGGGTCCTTGTTCTCCACACCCTGACCAACATTTGTTATCTGTTGATTTCTTGATGGTAGCCATGCTTTCCAGGGTGAGATGAAATCTCAGTGCTATTTTATTGGCTCTTTACCTTCTACATCTTTGTTTACAACCAACATTTTATTTCTTTACTGAGACTTCCTATTTCTACTTGTTCCAAGCATGTGAAGGATTTCATGAAATATGTTTATCATACTTGTTTTAAAACTTCTGTCAGAAAATTCCAATATATGTGTCTTTTCTGCGTTGACATCTATGACAAGTTATTAATCGTGCCAAAAGATAAACATATTCTCAGCATCAATCTATATTTATAGATTGATCTCATAGGGCAGGAAAAGTTTTTTGAAATATGAATAAATTATGGATTTTGAAATGTAGAATTTAATAAATTCTATCACGTTCTTATCAGAGAACAGCTAAAGAACTTGTGGAAGAGGTGAAGGAATTATATGATCACAGAGGCATAGAATTCCCTACTCATTAATCCATTAGAAGTCAAACATCATGTTCAGCAACTGCTGTCTGTTGGTACTTGGAAAGAGTGTGGCTTCAGTGAAATGAAAGAACACAGGATCTTAATGAAAGATCACAGGATCACCAGGGATCTGTTCATACACACCTACCTAGAGAGTTGCTCCATTACTGCTGCTCATGTGAGTGCTAGCATTATTACCACTGAAAGAGAACAAAAGTCCTGACTTTCCTGTAGGATTACTTGAAAACATCCTTTTGGAGAGGGAGAGAGAGACACCTATTGATGTAAGCTGAGCATGGAATTTCAGTCTCTACACACAGGAGGAGAGAGAAAGCTCCTTGTCACTTAATGGAGGTGTATGGTCCAATTTTACTTGGATTTCTCACCCACCATCTCATTGGAGAAGTTTAGCTTCATTTTTATACTCTGGGAAAGGAGAGATACCCAGCTTCCCACTTTGCTTTTGTTGTTGGAGATGGAGTGCTGTAGGAACATCTCCTGTGGAACAAGGTTACAGCATAGCACTTACTGTGTAAAATGCTACACCTTGCTGTTTCCTGCTTTCCTAGTCCTTTACCAGAAAGAGAAAGCTTCGTTGTTTCTGTATTCATTTATTGACTTTCTCAGTTTGTCATCTTTCTCGTGTGCAGGCTGGGTTATATTAATGGGCTAAAAAACAATGCAAGGGCCTTGTCACTATGCTCCCGGGAGTACTGCCATCTCTAGTCAAACTTCTTTCTTCTCTATACTTTCAAAGTCTCCTGCCTTTCTTTAATGCATAAATATGTATATATATGAAACTGTGTGTGCATATATACATATATATATATACAATTTTCACACTTTTAAACATATAAGCATATAAAATAATTAGCTGCATTTAGCAGGAATTAAAAAATATACAAAGGCACTTCTACCTTCCTAGAATATAGAGAGGGACTTATAGGAAAGCAGAAGTGCCTCTCTGCATTTGTAAAACCATGCAATCTGTATAAAATAAAAGTATATAAGCACACATAAGGGCATTTCTATAACCTACTATCTACATAACAATGCTTGACACTTGTTATTTATCTCACACATTTAGTTGCTTCTCCAGTGTTACTGATGATTAGCACAAATGATGATCATTGAAAACAAATCTTCAAATCCATAGACCTTCAGGAAACTTAACTAAAACTGAAAGTAAAAAGTGAGATGAAACAAGTGTGAAGAAAAGTAGAGGAAGGGAGAGAAGGAAGGGAAGAAGAGAAGGAAGGAGGGACCAAGGGAAGGAAAGAGAGAGGATAGTAAAGCCTTGGCCAGGCAAGATTTAGGTGCCATG